GGGGGGGGGGGGGGGGGGGGGGGGGATGCTGCCGGCGCACGCCTTGCATATGCGCGTGTGGATGTGGGCGTGTTTGGAGCGCAAGCGCGCATCCGAGGGCGGAGACCGGCGGCAGAGCGCCGGTTTAGTTCTCGGAGTTGAGCCACAGATCAAGATCCGGCATGTTGGCCAGGGTCTCGATGACGTAGGCGGCAGCACGGCCGAGATCGCCAATGGCCTGGCGAGAGATGTTGTCGATGTCATCGCAGGCACTTTGCACGGGGAGGAGGGCGTTAGAATGGCACCGGAGGGAGGGGGCAAGGCCCACACGGCGGCGAAGGGCGAAGGGCGAAAGGGAGGCGCACCGATGGTAGCAGGTGTCGAGGGAAGCGAAGGCAACGCCACCGAACTTGCGGGCCTGGTCGACAGTCTTGATCTCCTCGGCACCGGCGGCGAGACCACCAGCAGGGATGCCGATCTTCATCAAGGACGAGAGAGAGAGAGGGACAGAGAGGGAGAGGCAGCAAGGTGTGTCAGCGCGGTGGCGAGGGCGGGGAATACAGGAAGGAGGAACGGCCACACGACAAACGGGGACATGGCAGGGAAGGAGGCACGGAGGCGGGGAGCAGAGCGGGGCAGGGGGAACCCATCATGCACGCACATCAATGAAGGGACCGTAGTCAGAGCGACCGTTGAAGGGGGTCGGCTCGGAGGCCAGGCCCTGAGACTCGAACCACTGCTCGAAGAGACCCTGGATCTTGCCGGAGCCAGTGCGGACGGCATCCGGACCATTGCGACCATCGTACACACCACGGATGAAGTTGGCCGAGCCGAGCATATCGAAGTTCAGGTTGAGGGCGATGTCGGCGCGCTCGTCGGTGGTCAGGCTGTCAACATAGTGCTTGGAGCCCAGCAGGCCCCACTCCTCGGCGGACCAGAAGGCGAACTTGACGTGGTTGACGGTGCGGCGGTGCAGGCGGGCAAACTGGCGGGCGATCTCCAGGACGACGGCCGTGCCGGAGGCATTGTCGTTGATGCCCGGGCCATTGGGAACACCATCGGCATGGGCGCCGACGATGATGGTGCGGTTGGTCATGGCACCGGTGCGGGACGGGTCCAGCTCGGCGATGGCGTTGTTGGTGCCGACATCAATGGCACGGCAGTGGGCCGAGAGGTTGATGCGCGGGGTGACCCCAGCGGCGAGGAGCTCCACAAGGTAGGCGCCAGAGGCGGAGTTCAGGCCGAGCGAAGGGATGGTGGTGCCGGCCGGGGCGCCGCCCAGGGTGGGCAGCAGATCCAGCGGGTTGTACATCAGCACGGCGGTGGCACCGGCGGCGGTGGCATGGCCCACGCGATCGCGGTACGGGCAGGTGGGGATCTGGTCCCCGGCCGCCACATGCACATGGCGGTTGATGAGGGCCACGCTGCCGGGGACGAAGTCCTCGAAGTCCGAGGCATTGCAGCCACCCAGGACCAGGGCCACCGGGACGTCCTCCAGGTTGCCGGAGCCACCGAAGTTGAAGCCGACGAAGTCGTCATTCAGGGCCAGGTCAAACTGGTGGGGGTAGGTCACCGACAGGGTCGGCGGCTCGGGGTACTCGCTCACATGGGCCACCATCGGCTGGTAGACCACCGAGTAGCCGCCACCGGAAACCGAGCGCAGCTGCTCGGCCACATAGTCCAGGGAGTCATCGTAGCCGTTGTAGATGGAGCGCGAGCCCTTGTTCTGCGGGCGCATGGCGATGCGCTGGAAGGTCTGCAGGTGCTTCATGATGCCCTCGGCAGTGACAGCGTCAGCCAGGGGGGAGTTGATCGGCGCGGTGGCGGCCGTCTGGTAAGTGGCCGGGATCGGGCCGTCGTGGACGATCGGCGCGGCAGCCGACGCGCCGCCGGCGGCGAAGGCCAGCAGGGCGCAAAGGGCCAGCCCCAGGAGGGAGAAGGACATGGTGCGGGGGGGGGGGAGGGGGAAAACTCGTAGACCAGCTGGAAAACGAGGTGTTCTGCCCGGCGCCTCCGGGGTTCGGGCCGGCAGGCTGGGTCCTTTTGACTGCCGGAGGAGGAGGAGAGAACAAGCTGGCACCCGTGTCAAACAGGGGGGGGGGGGCGGTGATCTCTCACGCGGCTGCCGGTGCGAAGAACCCCCCATGGACCGAGCAATCTGCGGGCCCAAGCGACGCAACGCCGGGTCCACACACGTAAGCACAGCCCGGCGCCGGGGACCGGTGCACGTTGACGCCCCCCCCCCTTCCGCCCCATCAGGCCACTTAGCCGGCCTCCCAGAGAGAGAGAGAGAGAGAGAGAGAGAGAGAGAGAGAGAGAGACGGGGGGCGCGGACCCGTGGCACAGGGGGCGAGAATGCCACATGCAGCACGAGGCGTGTCCCCCCCCCCCCCCCCCCCCATGCGAGACACCCCGGCCAATCCCGGGCCGGCCTCCATGACACCTGACCGTGTCTCCGGTGTGTTTATTATTCCACTTTAGTCCCCACGCCCTGGCTCCCCGACGCTGGTGCGAGGCGGCAGCGGGACAAGAGACACAACCATGCCCCGAAGAGAAAGAGAAAGAGAGAGAGAGAGAGAGAAAGAGAGGGGAGACGGGGGGGGGGGAGCATGAATCAGGTGCGAATGACTCGTTTCTCACCATTCCGCCAGGACCGCCGTTTGCCCCTTTTGCAGGCCGGGATTCGCCCGCCGAGGGGATTGCCCGCGGAGGAGGCCCGGCCCCGTGCGCCCGGCGAAAAGCGCCCCTCCTCCCCCCCCGCCCCCGCCCCGCTCCCGTCCTCCTGCGCACCGCGCGCATGGCTGCTGGCTTGTGCCCACCAGGGCCCGAGGTGCTCGGAGAAGCATTCCCTGGTATCGCCCTGCACACCGGGCACAGAGCCTGGCTGACCATCCTCCGCGATTTTGAACGACCGGAACATATTGCCTCGGCCTGTTGGAGGGGAGTAAACGTCGTTGCGGTGTCACATGCGCGCTTGGCCAATATTGACGCGGCCAATATTTTTATTTCCATTTCACCAAAATGGCAAGCTGCACGAAGACGCAGGCCCCGGGACATGGTGCGATCACGGGGCCGACACTGTTCCGCGAAGAATGGGCATTTGCCGGTACAGTTTCGAACAGCCACTCCTGCTCCATTTCCAAAAATGGCCGGCTGTGGTTCACCACGAACGCGCATGCGCGCGCGCGCGCGCTCGCGCGCGGCCGCCGGCCTGTCTCCGGCGCTCCGTCCGTTGCCTGTGTTTGCCGGCCGGGCCCCCGCCCGGCGGGCCACGGACTCCGTCCTCCCGGTGTTGTGTGGGTGTCGTCCGGGCTCGGTCTCTAACCTTGTCGGGCGCGCCATTCCTGAGGTCGCAGGCCCCCTCTCCGCTCGGGTCGGGGGCCTTTTTTGCGCCACCTCCCCGGGCAACCTCCCCAGAGAGGGGGGCCTTCTCCCCCTTCCCGTCCCCCTCTCCCGCGCCCCCTCCCTCCCCACTTGCTCCGTTCGTCGGCTTCATCCCCGTCGCGGCCCATTTGCCCTTCTGTGCCTCCCCCCATCTCCCCCTCCCCCCTTCCCCTCCGTGCCCTGCATTTGGCCGCCCGCCACCGGCCTGGGACATCTTGCGCGTAGGTGCGCTTCCGGAGAGCGGACGATCTAGCGAGACGCCGAGCGCCCCGGGGAGAGAACAGCCGCCCCTTGCCCGCCGAGAGTAGTGTCACCACCATGTCGACGGCTCTCAACCTCTTGTGGGCTCGCGGCACCTCGAGCCCGGCCGCCCCAGTCTTCCTCGATGAGGGTACGCCTGGCTCGCCCTTTTTTTTTCTCCCCTTCTCCCTCCCGCTGCCGCGGATCCCCTGCTGGTTCCTCTCTATTTCTCTGCCGCCCTCGCATGGGCCGCCTGGCTGACTGGCTCTCGTCTCCGCCCGGCCCAAAAGACGACATGCTCTCCATATTTCTCGACTACCTGCGCACGATTGCCATCTACCGTGGCGACATCATCCTCTCGCTGCGAGATCTCTCCCACGTGCGCCCACAATCTCCCCCCCCCCCTGTCTGGCATTTGGTCTTCTTCGCGTGGAGCTGCTCCTCACCGTCTGGCTTCCCCCCTTTTTCCTCCCTTTGGCGGCCCTGCTTGCCAGTCGTCTCGAGCCGAGACAACCTTCCTTGAGCCGCCCACCGACACGTATGTCTTCACCTTTGGCGAGGACCCGGTGCCGGGGCCCGCTGCCGCGGCTGCGGCCGCGGCCCCGGTCCCGGCCACTGAACCCACCACCCCGCGGCGTGGTGCTGTGCACAAGCCCCGGGCGACCCCCCGGTCCACCGGCCACGCGGGCGTCGCATCGCCTCCGGCGGCCGACGCACCCCCGGCCATGCCCCCCGGCATCACCGGGCTCCATGTGGCCTGTGCCCAGGAGCTGCTCTACATTGACCCGGCGGCTGCCGAGTGGCGAAACCACTTTGTTCCCTCACGGTGCGCCCCTGTCGACGGCCACCGGCCCCTTGCCATTTCTCGATCTTCTTTTGTCCCTCCCCCCTCCCCCCTTCACCTCTTTTAATGCGCCGGGATGTGTGTCTCACCCTTGTCTCGCTCCCTGGGGATCAGTGTCTCGGAGCTGGATTTCTGGCGAAACTACATGTCTTGGGCCATTCAAATTGTCCTCGATGATTTTGGCATCGACCCGGCTCTCCCGGCGTCGGAGCTTTTCATGCTGTCGCACACTGGTCATTCGGCGGCGACAGCAGCGGTGTCAGCGGTGCGTCTGGTGTACCCCCTCCCTCGCCCACGCGTCTTTGACCCCCTTCGCCCCCCGACTGACTGGTCCCCGGTTCCCCTTCCCAATGCAAAGCCCCGGCTCCGGATGCAGGCCGTTCCTTCGGCCGATGCCCCACCCTCGCACATGGCCACTGAGCTGGCTGCCAGCCGAAGTGGACCAACTGCTCGGAGCACCGCCACCGCCAAGCTAATGCGTCACTCAAAGGCCTTCAAACGGACCATGTCACGCCTGGCCACTCAGCCGCTCTTTTCTACCGGTCCCCCGGTGACAGGCGGGTCGCCTGGCTGCAGCGCGGTGCCGGTGCCGGTGCCGGTGCCCGCGGCTCTTGGGGCCACTGCCGGACGCAAGTTCGGCCCCTGCGGCCCGGCCGGCACCAAGAAGCGCTCGACCCCCGCGCCGCCGCTGCTGCTGGGCGGCATCCTGTCCTCCGGGGCGCCGCTTGCCAGCCGGACGATCTCCCTGCGTGACGACTTGGCCGCCCTGGCTGAATGCTCGCCGGCCGATGAGGCGGCCTTCAGCCCGGCGGTCGCCAGTCCCAAGCCCGGCAGCAGCTCCGACGCCTCGTCCCCCCCTCCGGTGGACCCTCTTCTGGACTTGGGCCTTGGAGATGATGGCAATGGGGATGACGATCTTTTTGCCCAGTTCCACGCCCTGGTGCAGGTGAAGGCCGCGGCCAAGACCGGCACTTCCGGCACTTCCGGCACTTCCGGCACTTCCGGCCTCGGCTCGCAGGATTCGCTGACTGACCGGGGGGTTCCCTCGACGCCGGTGCGCATCCGCAACACAATCCCCACCTTCGTGCCGTCCGGCAGCCGACTGTCCTCGCGGCGCCAGCGTGCCGGATCCGTCACTTGCCCAGCCGAGTCCCTGTCTCCGGGAGCCGGGTCGACCGGCGGCCCCGACGCGGCTGGGCCCTCGGGTGCCTCTTCCGCGGCGCTCCCCCGGCGGGTACTCTTCTCCGAAGCCGCCTCCCCAATGGGCGTGGTCTTTCCTTCATCGCGCCGTGGGGGCCCTCCTCCCGGGCCGGATCCACTGTCGGGCGAGGTTGCCACGCCAGCTGTCGCCGGGGATGCCGGCGCCGGCGCCACCCCTGCCAGTCTGGCTGCTCCTGGCAGCCCGACCCCCACGCGCCTCCCCAGCCAGGCCACCCTGGATGCCACCTCGGCCCTGGCCATGGCGCTGGACTTCCTGGATCTGGATCTGGGGGATCTGTCCACGCCCGGCCCGGCCGAGGCCACTCCCCAGTCGCCGGATGCGCCCGGGTCGCCGGACGCACCGGAGTCGCCGGCCGTGGCCGATGTGCCCCCTGCTTCGGGCGGGCCTCCTGCCCCGCCGACTTCCTACACGGCGGCCGAGCGAGCTGCCCAGGTCCCCGAGCCGCATGATGTGGGCCTGGACATGGCTCACCCGCTGAAGCGTTATCACGATCGGGCGCATCGCATTCTCCAGACCCTGGCCCTGCGGTACCATGCATCAAGTGCGCTTGCCCCACGGGCGGCCTGGGTTCAGCCCCGTGCGGCGGCCTTTGTCTTCCAGGGCTTCATCCAGCATGGCCTTCTGCAATTCGGCAAGGGAGAGCTTGTGGTCAGTCGGGAGGATGCCCTCTTCCTTCGGTGCGTTTTCCGCCCATTTGTCTGCCCGCCCGCCCTCCCCTTCCCTGGTCCCCCCTCGCCACTCACTCTCTTGCTCGGTGTCCTCCTTTTCCTGTTGGCGCCCTTCGATCTGTCCCCCCCCCCCCCCATGTGCTCCTTCTCGCAGTCGGCCCGACAACCAGCAGTTGAATCGTTTCATCATTTCCGAGCTGAAGCTTCTCCAGGAGTACTTCGAAACCGCCAGGTGCGCCATCTCGGCTCCGTCCGCCGTGCTTTCCTCCGCCCCATCCCCCTAACCCTGGGCTCCCCCTCTGTCCCCTTCGCCCTTCTCTTCGCTCTCCCGCTCCTCCGTCCCCCCCCGTCGACCATGCAAACACGCGCACGCACACAGCGACGACGAGGTCCACGACTGGATCGGTTTTGGCAACATGGAGACCGGCGACGCGGACCACTTTTGGATCCTCAATGCCCTCTCCAGTGTGCCGTTCCTACCGACGGCCGGGGACCTGTCTACGGCCGGTGACGGCGGCACTGGCAGCGTGGCCGCGCGGGCTGGCGGCGCGGCGGCCTTCCGGCAACTCCATGCACAGCAGCAGCAGCGCCATGCCGACGAGCAGGACTCCATCGATGAGGAGGGCATCGGCATGGCCGCGCAGCCGCGCATCGAGCTGAGTCTTGTCTGTCGGCAGACCGGCCAGCCCAAGGTGGCCCTGGTGGTGGACCTCCGTGGCGGAGCCATCTTCAGTGCCCTGGCCGGGGCTGGGGCATTTGTGTGGCGCTGTGCGACCCCCGACGAGCTGGCCCCGATGCCGGGCTTTGTGGCCGACGGCCCGGGCGCCACAACGATCCCTCGGTTCCCGGAGTTGGAGGCCCTCTCGCCGAGTGGGGGGCTCGGCTCGCCGGAGGTTGTGCGGGCGGTGCATCGACTCCTCGGCCGGTGGACGCGCGCCCGGCGGTCCTACCTGTCGGTGGCTCTGCTGGAGATGTGCTGCCTCTTCCGTGACCCAAGCTATTTGACGGCGTCAGCCACGGCTGGCGGCCAGGCGGCCGGGGCCTCGGGCGGCAACGCCGCCGGCACCAGCAACGCCGATGGCAGCCTCCCGTCGTGGGACCATGCGGCCGGGGCCCTGTTGTTGACTGAGCTCGGCGGCCGGGTGACTGACCTGGCCGGGGATGCTCTGATTTTCCGCGGTCCCTTGCGTCGCGGCGTGGTGGCCGCCCTGCCGGCCGTACATCAGACCATCCTGGACACGCTCGCTGCCCTGCGCGCGCCCCCGACCCGGGCCTTCCACCTGGATGTGGCCTTCCCCGGGCTCGATAGCGAGACCCTGGCCCGGGCGATTCTCCTTGGCCTCGGCCAATTGGCCGGCTTCCCGACGCCGGATTTGGAGAAGTCGATTGCGGTGCGGGCCCTGGCCCCGGAGTAGTTGGTGGTCGATCACCCCCCCCCCCCCTCGGTCTTCGCCCCTCTTTCCCTCTCGCTCGTTCTTCTTCCCGCGGCAATTGTCCTGTCCTTGTACTTGTTTCTTTCCCCCTCCTCCTCCTCCTCTTCCTCCTCTCTCTCTCTCTCTCTCCCCCCTTCCCCTCCCTCTCGCTCCTGCTGCCCCATTCTCTTGGTGTTCCAGCCGCAATAGACGTAGAAAATGCCCCTCCCCTCCTTGCTTCGGTGCGCTGTGTGTTGGGGTTTCTTTCTTTTGGCGGCATGCCCAAGGCATGTGGGCGTGGCCCCGGCTTTCAGGGTATCCGCCAGGCGACAGCCTCCTCAGGGCCGCCCTGTTCCGTGTGCAGATACAGGAAGGGCGAGGTGTGCCCCGTCGGGGCGCCAGCCGGAGGAGGCCCAACGGCCGCCAGCAAGCGGATGGTCACCTGTCGAGCCCAGGCATGGGGCAGATGCTCCTGATGCGGGGCAAAGGTCACGCATGCTCGACACACCGGGCCGCCGTATATCTCGGCCGGGCCCGAGGCCGACCGGGTGGCCGCCGGTGCCTGGCACACAAGACACCGGCCGGCCAGGCCAGGCATCGGGTCCGGGAAGGCCTGGGGGCTGGCTGGCGGGGATTTGGTGGCCAGCACCAGGAGGCGCCCCTGCACGGCGACCGACAGATCGGCCAGCATCCGAGCCAGGGTCGGAGGAAATCGAGATGCCCAGGCGGGTGGCTGGCCAGCCGGCGTCGGCGGAAGGTCCTCGGTCTCCGACAGCGAGGCGGCGGCATCACCGGCCGAGGGGACAGCCGCGGCAGGGACAGCCGCCGGGTGAGCAGCGGCGGTGGTGGCCACCGGAGCCAGGCCGGCCGGCAGGCGAGGGTCCATGGCCCGCTCCCAGAAGAGGGGTCCGGTGATGGAGTCGAAGATGAGCAGGTGGTGATCGGGCCCGGTGGTCAGGGAGGCCGGCCGACAGGCGTCGGCCACCAGGCGCCGGACCAGCCGAGCCACCGTGCACAGGGTCTGCCGATAGCCAGCGCACCGGAAGAGGGTCACATCGGCCGGCGGGCCGGTGGGTGCGGACCCGGCGGCTCGAGAGCGCAAAACATGCGCCAAGCGCCGTTGGCTGAGTGACCGGTCAAGGTCGAAGTAGAAGACCCGCACACGCGGCGAGAGGGGCCGCGCTGAAGTGGCCACGGCCGAGGCCACAAACTCCAAACAAAGCTCGGTCTTGCCGGCCCCATCGCCGCCGGCCACCTCCAGCAGGAAGAAGGACCGGTCAGGTCCGGACGTGCGCCAGGGGGCTGGCGGGGTGGCCGGCGCTCCGGCTGGGGCGTCGGTCAATATGTCACCCAGGCCCGGCGGGCCGCCCGGACCGCCAACAAGCCCGGCCAGCCGGCGAATGCGCGGAGACACGCCAGCAAGTTGCCGCAGAACCATCACCCCGGCCAGGCAAAGCTGAGCCGGCGGCAGGGCCGGCGGCCGAGGAGCCGCGGCCCAGATGTCAGGCACCAGGAAGTGATAGGAAAAGCGCGCAGCGCGAAGGAGGCCGAGTTCCGCCACCGAGCGTCCAGGCGAGGTGCCCGATGGCCGGGCACTCAATGGCGACCGTGCGGGGGACCGAGTCGTCCCGAGCAGAGGATGCTCGGGGGATGCGTCCCCAGCCGGTCGGTCGGGGCCGGTGGCCCGGGGCCGCGTGAATGGTGTTCCCGGCTGCCGGAAGGCCGTCTTCGCTGACCGGCGGACATCGAGGAAAAGCTGGGCGGATGAGGCCTCGAGTCAGTAAGGGGCGGGGAGGGGGGGGCCCGGGCGCCGGGGCCC